TACACTTGTAATGCGGCCAGGACAACCCGGCGTCCGAGAAGAGCACCTTTGTGAACCACCTGCGCATCCGTCCACCCTGAGCTAGTCCGTGACAAATGGCGCCCAACGTGCTGCTTTTTCTCGGTTCTGTGTACAGTGCTTTTAAATTTTGAGTGTTGGCAAAAATTTTCTGCATCCTACTTTTAAAATCTATTGCGAACTTTCTAAAACCCTTGCATTGTATTTGTTTTTCATCTTGTGGTTTTGTTCACCACTCTTTATACCTAATTTTATTGCTGTGGCTGGTTCCCCTCTTTTCATTGTATTTTAAATTGCAATTTACTTTTAAACTCTTTCTATGCCCATAATATTTTTGTGTGCTTTACTACTTCAAATGTTTTTTTTTGCACTTTGTAATAAATTGCAAATATTGTAAATGTTCTATATTGTGGCTTTTGTGAAATTGTGTGGTGAATTAGTGTCTTCTGGTGTTGTGCCCTCGCAGTGCTGCAGGGTGAAGAGTTCCAAGTGAATTTTCAGTGAAGTGATTTTGCTGATCTCCAAAGATAGTGACTTTATTTTTACAAACTTTGAATTTTGAATTCGAGCATTTGCAAGATGGCTCGTGTTCCAGTTCCGATTGATTTCGGATCGTTCAGTACTGAGGAAGTGGAGTACGAGTTGGATATTCGTGGCCTGCGGCATTACGTCCTAAGCCCGACCGACAAGTGCAAACTTTTATCTGAACAGTGGGGTACCCAGGTGGTTATCGCTAGACTGGAAGAATTTACTGTTGCCAATGAGATTGCCGCACTGAGGCAGAAGACTGCAGAATTGGAAGTGTTGGTTTTGGAGAACGCCCCTATCCGTCGATTTTCTCGACGTCTCAATGGTCTCCTTGCTCATTGTGTCCATCGTACTCGTCGCTCCATGTTCAGAGGCGAGTTAGAAGAGTTCAAGAAGGTGGCGAAGCGGCTGAATAGAATTCAAGAAGCCTGCATGCAGGCCTATCCTCAGTTCAACTTCCCTGCATTGACAATCGTGGAGGACGACTTGGAGTCACGGTTGGCGGAGCTATCTTTGCACTCCAAGACTTCACACGCCACTGGTGGAGGTCGGGAGTCATCTCGAACCTCTAGCAAGAGTAAGAAGAAAAGGAAGAAACACAAGAAGAAGAGTTCGAGGCGGCGTTCCCCCAGTTCGTCTTCTGAGAGTTCTTCAAGCTCTTCATCGAGTTCTGCTTCTGACCGCTCTGCCACTCGTTCTCGCAACAGCAAAATTCGAGAAGTTGCTCGCTTGCCCTACCACTACAACGGGAAAAAGGAAGAAGATTTGCATGAATTCATGTCTAAGTTGGACAACGCTGCAGAGATGTATGGCTACAGCGGGAAGGACCTCCTCGGTGGGATGGGGGCCTTGCTGCAAGGGAGTGCCCTTACGTGGTTCTCGGCGAGGAAGCATGAATTCTCCAGTTGGGCTCAATTCAAGAAGGAAATCAAGGAAGCATTCAACCCTGCTGGCAATGATGCTGAAACCTGGGAGAGAATAGATAACCTTCGGCAAACCTCTGATGAAACCTACGCCGTGTATGAAGCTCGGGCCGAAGAATTGTTTCTCCGACTTAGTGAGCCTCCTACTGACAAGGACAAGTTGCGGAAGTTACTAGACGGCCTGCATTTCTACTACCGCAGCAAAATCAAGAGTGCCAACATGACGTCATTGAGTGTGTTGCGAAAAGAATGCAGAGATCTCGAGGCTGACAAGATGCACCTGATGAGATTGGAAAAGAGGGAGCTAAAGAAAAAAGAAAAGGAAAAAAAGAAAGAAAAAAACAAAAGGACTCCTGACTCTTTCCCCTCTGTGTTCGCTGCTAAGGAAAGCTCATCTTCCGCTAGTTCCACTAGTTCTGATGAAATTGAGACTGCCCCGGCTAGTACTCCCACTCCAAAGAAGCCCAAGGGACGCGTCCAGAAGTATTGTTATAAGTGTGGTAGAAACGACCACTATGGCCTCGAGTGTGCTTGCGCTGTGTTCTGTACCAAGTGTGGTATGCCTGGATTTTTGGCCATTAATTGCCCAAATTGTGGCCGTGCTGAAGATGCTGGACGGTGGCCTTCCCCATCGGGAAACCAAGCTGGAGCCTGGATGGGGCCAAGCCAGAGCTCTCTGCCGACAGCGGCCCCGTTTTGGACTCGGTTTCCTCCCCCACCTCTCCCTTCGTGGAACAATCAAGGGAATCCTGCTCATCAAGGTCCTCGGCACCCAGGTCCTCAAGGAAGAAAATGAAGAAGCAGACATTACGACTGAAGCTTGGGAAGGATCGGCGTGGTTATTTACCTGTGTCTGTACTGGGAGTTCCTGCTGTTGGTCTTCTAGACAGCGGGTCTACCAGAACACTTGTTGGGAGAAAAGGAATGCAGCTTTTGGTGTCTGCGGGCCTTTGTGCTCACAGCCCTGTAAAGTTCAAGTTTATTAAAGTAGCCGATAAAGGCATTGCAAGAATTGAGAGTGAATTTTCTGTTCCGTTTCTGGTGGCTGGCAAGACAAGATTTGTTGATGTTCTCTATGTCCCTCAACTGTCTGCTGATTTATTGCTTGGTCTGGATTTCTGGCGAAGATACAACCTGCGTCCTGACTTTATCTCTAACACCTGTGAAGTGGGAAGTGTGGAGGTGTTCTCTACAGTTGCTGTTGATCAAGAAGAACAAGAAGATAATGCCCTCAGTCCCAGTCAACGTGTCGAACTTAACTGCATTCTTGAAGAATTTAGGCCTCTCTTAGACACAGAGAAACTTGGTTGTCTGCGCGGTGTGGAACATCACATAGATACAGGTGTCGCTCCCCCGTGTAAACAAAAGTACAGCAGTTTGAATCCTAAATTACTTGCCGAAGCCCACCGCGGTCTTGATGAAAGACTTGCCAACGGAACTGTAGAGCCTTCGGAGTCTCCCTACTCTTCTCCTTTACTTCTGCTACCAAAGAAGGACCAAGGATGGAGGTGGGTGGTCGACTTCCGTGAGTTGAACAAGAGTATTAACAGGCCCAGCGCCCATCCACTTCCTCACATCAATCCAATGCTTTGGAATGTGCGGGGAGGTACGATTTTCTCAAGCATTGATGTCAAGGATGCTTATCTGCAGATACCGTTAGACAAGGAGTCTCGTGCGAAGACTGCTTTCACTGTTCCTGGGCGTGGACTTTTTCACTACACTCGTCTCCCTGCTGGGTTGAAGGACGCTGCTGCGCGCTGGCAATCAGAGATTGAGAAGGTTCTTGGTCATGAGCCTAATGTGCTTGTGTATATGGACGATATCCTCATATGGTCCCCTAACCTGGATTGGGAACACCATAAGAGGCTTATAAGAAGAGTTTTGCAGAAGTTAGCCGATGCTGGACTTACCATCAAGATGAGTAAATGCAAGTTTGGGCGTAAACAAACCCTGTACCTAGGACATGTCATCGACGAGTTCGGCATTCGCCCTGATCCCGCCAAGATTTCTGCCGTAGTAAACTTCCCTACTCCTAGAAGACAGAAGAATGTTCGTCAATTTCTTGGATTGGCGGGTTGGGTGCGCAAGTTCATCAATGGTTTCAGTGTTGCTGCCAAACCTCTCACCGACCTGCTCAAGAAAGGTCAACCTTTTCATTGGTCCAGACAAGCTCATGAGGCTTTCACCTTCTTGAAGGAAAAGCTTGTTTCTTCTCCCATTCTTCGTGCCCCTGACTTTTCAAAAACTTTCAAGATTTATACTGATGGCTCTGCTCTTGGAACTGGTGGAATTTTGTGTCAAGATTTCGACGACGGTGAGCACGCCGTCGCCTATACGAGTCGCTCCCTCAAAGGAAGAGAGCCCAAGTATTCTGCCACGGAGTTGGAGTGTTTAGCTGTCCTTCATGCTCTTGCTGCTTTTAGGCCTTATGTTGAAGGGTATCGGTTTGATCTGTATACTGATCATAGTAGTCTGTTGTGGTTGTCAAAGTTGAAGAATCCTTCCGGTCGGCTTGCCCGCTGGGCCGTACAGATTCAGCAGTACGATATGAACATCATCCATCGGAAGGGTGCAACCATGCAAGCGCCAGATGCACTTAGCAGAAATCCTGAGAAGATAGAAGAAGTTCTTGATGTGGATCTTGTCGAACTTCCCTCACCTGTTGTTGATCCTTGGTATACTGAACTTGTTGAAAAGGTTCAAGCTTCGCCCGAACTTTACGAGAGTTTCACTCTTCGTAATGGTATTTTGTACAAGCTCATCAGAGTCGGTGCTGGTTTGCCAATGAAGTGGGTGCAAGCTGTCCCTCAAGAATGCAGGAAGGATCTTTTAGAGCAGTGTCATGATGTCCCTACAAGTGGCCATGTTGGTGCTTTCCGCACGTTCAGCAAGGTCAGACTTCGTGGCTACTGGCCTAAAATGCAGAAGGAAGTTATCGATTATGTGAGAAGATGTGCTGTCTGTCAAGAAGTCAAGGTCTCCCGGGATCCTCCTGCTGGTTTCATGAATTCAAAAGAAAAGATTTCTGAACCCTTTGAAGTGCTTTCTACTGATCTTGTTGGTCCCTTGCCTCGGTCTAGTTTGGGTAACACCTTCGTATCAGTGTCTACTGATTACTTTTCAAAGTACTGTTTCTTGAAGCCCCTTCGTGCTGCCACTTCCAAGCCCATTGTTCGACATCTTAAAGAAGATATTTTTCTTGTTCATGGTGCCCCTCGCCTGCTCGTTTCAGACAATGGACAGCAGTACCGTGGGGAAGAAATGGCTAAGTTGTGTGCAGAGTTCAAGGTGCAGCAGAGATTCAACTTGCCTTATAATCCTCGGAGTAACCCCACAGAGCGTACAAACCAAACCTTAGGAGCCATGCTGCGTGCGTATAGTAAAGACAACCAGAAGAAATGGGATGAACACCTGCCCGAGCTCCAGCATGCCCTACGGTCTTCTGTTAGTACCGTCACTGGATTTTCTCCAAATTTTCTTGTCTTTGGAAAGGAAGTTCCTGTGGATGGACGGCTTCGGCTCTTCAATCCTCAAGAAAATCTAGAAAATGAAGATCCTATAGAATACTCCAAGACCTTTCAGCGACTAGAAGTCATCAAGGCTGATGTTCAGCATCGTTTAAACAACGCCCAAAGCAAGAATGCTGCAAGGTACAACTTGAGACGAAGACCCGATCCATACAAGCCTGGTGATGTGGTAAAGGTGAAGAACTTTGTGAAGTCTGACAAGGCAAAGGGATTTTCCAAGAAGTTAGACAAGAAGTACAAGGCTCCATTTACAATTGTAAGAAGAGAAGGGGATGTATCGTACTTGTTGAAGACAAGTGATGGCACAGAATTTGGACCTGTACACGCTGATCAGCTCCAACCTTACCATCAGTGAGAAAAAAATTCTTCCTGCAAGCAGAAATCATTTTTTTTTGTGAAGAAAGAGTTGGCTGTCACGGGTGCAGCGGCCCCGTGTGCTTTTCCGCCTGTGCGATAGGCAACC